ACTCTGTTAACTTTAATAGTACAAGAAAAAGTGAATGGACCATTTTTATGTAGATGTGAACTTTTTTTTTCTAGCTCTTACCCCTTTTGAGAAACCTCTTTATCATTTTTCACCCCTGATCGGGAATTGAAAAATTACTGTCACGTATTGTTATTATATACCTATACTTATATTAAAAATTAGGCAAGTTGACCAAATTGTGATTTAAAGGCCCATTTAATTGGACTAAAATTGTTATCTGTAGAAATGTGTAAATTGGCCGGTGAATAAACTACTTTTAGCGTTACTGGGAACAATGACAAGGACATAGTTGTTTTCAGTTCCTCTACGTTTATTTTGTTATTTTCCAATCACAAAAAAACACGGAGAATGAAATAACACAAACGTTTTATAAAATTTTATAAAAATTATTCTTAACAAAAGAAATGATATCTATCTTTTAAAAAAATACAAAAAAATACATTCATTTGCGAGCAGATTTGATCAAGCATTCCGATAAGTTATAACTTATAAGCGAAGTAGTTTCTTGACAAGTCATTTTTAAGTACCTAATTGAAAATTTAAGAAATAATGTTTTAAAACTAATTTTGATAATTACTGTATCATCAATCTAAAAAAAAATACACAAATTCTATGTACTTTTAGCCATTGAATCCGAATCCGCAATAAAAAATAGAGGCTCCTATCTAAGATTTCAAAGTTAACCTCTTCCCCCCCCCCTCACCTACAAGAAGGGAAAAGAGAGAAAGAGACTAATTTTAGCAATAATATATTCCCTCCGTGAAGTGATAAAATTTTGGTTACGGACATTTTTTTCGTAGAGCGCGTATTTCTTCAGACATTTAAAAGTTCCAGGTTTAAAAAGGCACCTGGTATAATCATAATTCTTGTTGGTATCAAAAAAGGAAACATTCTACATTAGAAATTTTTTTAAAGGTTATATTAATTCAGACTAATTCTAATTTTTTTTCTAAAGTCAACAAATGAAATCAAACAACGTTCTTCGATACTACAAATCTACCACACCTATGATCCTTAACTACTCATGAGCTACATTCCTCAACTAGCATTGAATTACATCAACAGTACCTAGTAAACAGTTAAAAAAAATAAAAACTAAAATTATATGTCTAAACATAATTAAATTCACATTATAATGTAGTCGTATTCGACATTTTTAACAATATCGTTTCGAAATGTTATTTTTCTAAGAGTTTAAAGTTTATATATAATTCCTTTATATTAATATTTATTAATTCCATACGAAAAGAGGCTACCAGATGAAATAATCCTAGAAGTAAAAGATCTTATTGCAATAGCTGTTTTTTACGTGTTTGTCTTTGTCAAAGGCTATGAGAGAATAATAAAAGTGCAGGGTGCTTCTTTAAATAATTACATTATTTAACAATTTCGATATTTCAGATATACCTATGTGTTCTTGTTTTAATTATATTTGGACATACCTGTATTGGAGTAGTTGTTTACTTCAATGATAAGTGGTTAGAAGTCTTGTATGTGGAATTTGATATATTTTGTATTAAAAAACATTGTTAAACTTAAAATATTTATTTTTAAATCAGCACGATACTCAAAATATAGTTGAAATTATTTCAATTCAAATTTGCTTATTGCCACAGATTACACTTTTGAATATATCATTGTGCTGCGTTTATACAGTATTCTTCATTTCAAGTCACTTTCTGCACGAGATGTGAATTACGTGCATTTCTTTAGACTTATTGTACCAACTCTCTAACTGTGACTCCGGCTATAGTCAAAGCTGGTTTCTGTTCTAAACTATTTAAGACATGCCGTTGTACAGTTTAAATAGGGATATAAACATGAGTGGACATACTGAGATTTTTAAAGCTATATGTTACTTTTTCTTGTATACAATTTGTTCGACAACGACTATTGATAAGTCTACAGCTAGTTGAAAGACCATTATTTATTTAAAATACTTCGAGAATAGTCCAGAATCGATATTACTAGGTTGGATATGATTATAGGAAAAAGTTAGTTGGACGTAAATTATGTAGCATTTTTTGAGGCCATTTCTACAGTACCTTTAGAAACAGACACAATTATATGTATAATTTAATAGTAGTTACTACTGAAGTAGTTGTTAACTCGGACTACTGATTAGAATGGAAAGTTTCCAAACGTTTTAATAAAACAAAAAATAATTTTGCAAAACTTATTTTGTATTTATCTACCTACTGTATCGTTCACAGTCTGCAGACAAGAACTATGTGGGTTTGCAGAAAGCGTCGATAATAATTTATTATCTGTAATAATAATAATAATAGATTTTAGAAAGGAAAGGATTTTTTTAAACTTGCGTTTAAATATGGGAAATGTGTTTTAAGTTTGCTCTGTTTGGATGTAATAGATAATGACGTTAATTATGAGTAAAATTCAGAGAAACACATTCTCTTCCTTTAAGATTAGCTATTTACCTTGCAACTATATTAGCTCATGTTATACCAGGTGTTTCACATCAATGTATATAATTTTTTAAATTCTACTGTGCAACAGTGTTGTACCATGCTGTATAAAAGTTTTATGACTAGAATCTATTAAATATCCGAGAAATAAAATTGTAAAATATAATACAGTAACGGAATGCTTTCATATTCGTATGGAAATACATATAAATGTAACTTTACTGCTAGAAATATGCAACCCTGTTAAATTTAAATATATTATAATAAAATTAAATATTTATAGCTATATATTTTATTAGAAATTAGTATGTTCCATTTAGAAGAAGAGCTAGTAGCACTTTAAAAACTCAGATACTCCAAAAAAAATTTTAGATGCACGATTCGAATGATTTTTTTACACACTGTGGCTATGTACTTTTCTTTTTTGAATTAAGTACAATAATCTAGTTTGTTGCGGTTTTTAGAAAGCGATTGTTCGGAGAATCGTCTTAGGGATTTTTTTTTAATACTCCTTTCGAATTAGATAAAACCTGAAAATTAAAAAAAATGTTAGTAGACATTTTATTGTACTTTATGGAGGGGAAATGGTATGTAGAATGATAATATCAAAAAAGTAACTCGAAAAAAGTGACGTTAAGTTGGCAAATTGCAAATTAGGTGTTTTTCCCTTTTTTTACTGCCCATGGAAATCTAGACGACCTATCAGAAAATTAGTTTCTTTATGTTGTAGGCAATTTACCTAGAATTTAAGGTAGCTAAAGTCGTATTTCACCAATTTGTTAACTGTAAAATAAAGGTCGAACGCGGAAAAAAACAATTTTCGAAAATTGAGCATTATTATTGCAGAAATCGATTAATGTCGATGGTTCTAGAAAAGACGTCTACCTAATAAGCAATATGTGTGCCAAAGGCCGATTCGATTGACCGTGAAATTGTTGCTCTATATATTTGTTAATTAATTTCGTTCGCTTTTTTCCAACTAATTGTTTAATTACAAAACGTTGAATTTAGAAGTAAATATCGTAGATATAGGTTCCAATTAATCCAAAAAAACGTATCGAAAAAAAAAATTCATAAAGTTAAAATTAAGTTGCCCTTTACAATTAACAAAGTAGGATGTGCAAAACAGCGTTATAAACAAATTGTCCCAGGGTCAGGCAAAAGCTGCTCGGGAATTCGCTCTTTTTGCATTAAATAGAGCTTAATTTTACAGTACTTAAAAAAAAGAGAAGTCGCCTACGCCTCTTTGTGAGATTTTGAACTGAATTTGAAACGTTCAAGTTGTTGTGTAGCTAGATTTCTAATTAAAATGTTCCTAAAGTATCTTTAAAAAATTGAAAGAGGCCATGGATTTACAGCTCGGTCGTCGTAATTTGTTTAATAAATACATTTAGAAATATATGTAAACTTATTTATATATCTTTTCAAGGTTGTTCTGATTCTTAATGGGTCACTTTGCTGAAAGATGGCAATTTTATACTTAAGAAGATAGTTAAAAATATATGTAATGCATGTTGTATATGTAATTTCAGCATGAACATCAGCAATTAGTTTGATAGATTTAATATAATAAAAAATAAGAAATGTCATCCACATTTTGTTATTTATTTTCAATACTCAATTGCAGAATATAAAATATATTCAAATAATTGTAACTTAGGTTAAATCATTAAAAAATGAAACTGTAATGTCGAAAATAAAAAAAAAAACAAATCAAAACAACGCATTATATAGTTGTGATACTGATGTTACCTAGAAATTCTGTAGTTTATAGTATCATAGTAATATTACATATATGAGATATTTGATTAAAAAATTTACACATATTAAAACTGTCGACATAATTATTGTTTTGCAATATGTATTATAAAATGTGTAATGTTAATGTGACTGTTATCTTGGAACTAAAAATTTCAATTCTTCTATTACTGTGGGACATTCAATATGAAGATGCAAATTCAAATAAAACGTTCAATACCCCACAATTTTCTCGAAACAGTGTAAGGAATCAACGCAAGAAGACAACTCAACTATAGAGACTATATCAACTATGTTTCGAGATAGAAACCAGTAGTTCTAAAAAGTACATGTAAAAGTCCGTTGGATTGCTTCTACATATGAATTTGCTAAAAGACGCAGAACCCCATCGTTCTAAAGTGCGGCAGTTGCTAAAATATATTCAGTAGATCTGAGTTTGCTATAAATTAAAAGGCACATGATAATAGTAACCAGAAGTTCTTGAACCTTTACTTTTTAACTTTTATAAATTATTAGAAGTCACGTGATCACTGATCTTAGGCAACCAACACTGCATGATTGGCACTGTGAGCTAAAATCATTTATGAGTGCCTTGTATATGCTTTTCATCATTTGACTTTAGATAATATCCTTTCATGAAAATAGCATTTTTATTTCTTTTTATTTATTTCCTTTATCCAGCTTTCTGCGTCATCACGTTCCTCCTGTATTTCCTCCCTGCACCTTATTTCTCTTCTTTTTTCGTATTCATCTTTTTTTTTATATATACTAATAAATGTATTCTCGTTGTTGCAGGCTCTATAATGTTTCACGTGCGCAGAAGGCCGGCGGACTGCGCGCCACGGAAACGGAAAAAGAAACCCGGTGCCTTGGGCCAGACTGCCGGCAACAGGGATGTCAGGGGAGACACGGCGCCCTTCCTCGTCGAGCTGGGACCAGACGGATCGGCGCCCCACCCGGGAGACACCGCCAGGACCATCCGACTCACCAACGACGTCATGGAGGTACGACACGTTTACTTTCACTAACTAATGCTTAAATTATATCCGGAAATATTTTCGAGGTCACGGGCATTTTGAGAATTACCCCGGGTCGAAAACGAGGGATAATTTTCTAAAAGTAAGAACTAAACTTGACATTTTGAAGTCGAATCGTTGAAATGAAAATGTAAAGAAAGCCGTGCTGATTTGTTATTGCTGTCAGCCTGACGTTAATTGTTTAGTTGACGTGATCTTTTGTTGAAAATGTTGTGTTTCGATAAAGCTCAATGAATTTGAAAAGAAGTTAAAAATTTAACACCTTATAACAACAAAAAGTCTAAAACAAGCATATGGAAATGGTTTATCGAGTTCTGCAGTGAAGATACATATAGAAGAGACGAATCTTTGAATGTCGAACAATTAAGGAACATTTTGGCAGATTATGCTTTCAATATGAAGAGTAAATTGTAAATAAAATCATGTGGAACTCCATAACAAAAAAGTTAGAGGTCTTTTAATATCTCATGAGTCGCGAAATGCGCGAAAGGCGTGGCGTATCCCCATAATTCTTCTAACAAGCACGTTGTGAAGACATTGACTCAGAACTAGACCATGTGCATCATTACAAGTAGATATGAACTAAGGCGCTCGGGCATCAATAAAGTCAACTGGCGAACGTTCGTTATATATATTTTTATTGTTTAAATTAAAATAATAAAGAATAGGGCATTTTATTATATTTGTAATCGGATCAAAGGCTTGTTTACGCTATAGCTCGAGAGAGACTGTGAATAATAGGTGTAATGTCTCTAGGACGTAGAATAATTTAGGCGACGGTCGGAATTATGTTTCTGCGCATATGAAGGTCAAAGCTCATAAGATTTTAAAACATCTCTACAAGAAATGTTTTATGAAAAATATAAAATTAAGTCACACTGATGTAGAGTTTATGGCCACCAGAGCTGCTTGAGGTGCTAGGCGAAGAAAATTACAGAGCTACCCAATAATGATGAGAATAAAAGGATTATGAAAATTTGATATGAAGAATAGTTTGCAACGCAATTTTTTTCATATTGCTTCACATGAATCAGTATGAAGTAGAGAGGAACAATTTTCTACTCAATTTTTCAAAGAAGAAACTAATAATCTAGGAAAGTCGCATTGAATATAAGCCAATTTTCTCTAAAACTGTACCAAATGGTTCCAAAAGATTGGCAGATAGTAATTAGTTACATACTTGCAAATTCGGGCAATCCTGAAATATATTCTGTCTGTTTGTGCAAGAAATTGATAACAAAAAGAGGAAATTACATTAAAATCGACAGATCCAAACAATTGGAAGGAAACAAACTCAAAGGGATGGTACAAGAACTGCCCAGTTGTGATTTAAATCTTCAGCTTCTGATATAGGAATTGACACTAAATGAGTTAAAATAACCAATCATTCTGCAAGAGCCAATGCTGTCCCAAATTTGGCCAGTAAGTGAGTTAGTGAACAACTTACTAAAATTGCAAGATAGAAACAGTCAGTCAAGCTTTGGATGTGGAGCATCATAGTGATATGGTTGAAACCATGAGAAGGACCAGTGAGTTTAATCATGACCAAAATATAACAGAAGATATCACTAAAACAGAAAATAAAGAGGTGCAAACCGTTAACTCAAACCAAACCCCAATCATTTGAAATAACTGCGTTTTTAATGTCACTAATAATGGTAATACATAATCTTGTATTAATATTAATTTGTTTATTGTTTATATAACAAATTTTTATAACTCCAATTACAATCATTATTATTGGCTTATTAAATAAAATTGGAATTATCTATTAGCATTTAGGAAAAAAACTAATTAGTAATTATTCAGTTTCAATCGAATTATTGTTTAAACCAGTACTTCCAAAAAAAATGTTATAGTAACACACTGAAGCACTACAGTTTTTAACGCAAATTATATACAGTTTTAATCTAACAGAGCTACTTAAACATATCAGTAAAGACGAGGAATGAAAAATTCTCGCCATTTCGCTGCGCCGCAAAAAAAGTTTGGTTGTCACTGGTTCGCACCATAATTTTCAGTCCGAGTTCTTCATCCTCGCCAATTCATTCAAATTTATGTCGGAGTATCGCTGTTTTACATATTTAGTGGTAACATAAACATAATTTGGAGGCCTACAAATTTTAAGTGGCTTCCATAAATTCAAATTAGGTTTGCAGTGGCTTCGGCAAACTTCTTTGTTATGCGGTGTTACCCACCAGGGTATTAACTTGCTATTCATGAGTGCTTCGTTCTGGATTATCTGTTGCCTTTCCTAGCTTCCTGAATTATGCAACGCGGGATAAATGGGAGAGCCCCGGTTGATGTAAAACACTTTGGAAGTTTTTTCGATACAGAAAGTTTCCAGTATCTTTTACGGATGAGCGTACGTGCTGTATTCGAAATATTTTCTCCATTAATGCATACGAAATCGGTAGCTGTTGATGTGGTTCGCGAGTGATAAGAACTGAAAGTTCCAAATTCATACGAGTCTTTTAAAAAATTCTGCACGCCGTAAATTATGATTCAAAAATTTATTTCACTAAGTAACTTTACAGGCTATCCTTGTAATCTCCATCTTTCTCACTAACAGCGGCCTAGCGTTTCCCGTTAGGACGCCATTTTTGTTGATCTGTCTGATTACTCGTCTGCATCAAAAGCATTCCTCGATGGTTTTAAAACGTTTCCCTCGGAGTGGTTTCTTGAGTTTTGGAAACTAAAGTGGTGGGCACATGTCAGGACTATGGGGTGGATTGTGGAAGGATTTTCCATCCGTAATTCTCCAAAACTACTTGTGAAAGTGTCGAACCTTCTTTGGCGAATCTTTAGCCACAAAACATTTCGCAGAAAGTCTCCGCATAGTATCGTCCTGCCACAATGGTTCCCTGGGATACTCAATCTATAGCTATTACTTCATAAGCTATTATCATCATAAGCTTGATTGGACTGTTCACGACGGCATTTTGTTTATGGAGGAGAGTCAGAATGTTTGCATTTCAATTCTGGCTCAAAGTATCGAATCTATTTTTTTTCTGTAGCAACAATCCTGGTTAAAAATTGATCTCTCTCTCGTAACGTTGAAGCAATTGTTGTGCATTTCTCTAGCAATTTGCTTTTTGATCTTCACTCAGATGATGACGAACCACCTTTGCAGCGACTTTGCTTTTCTGTAGTTTCTCGGTTATGATTCGAGTATTGCGTCGATCTTTTAAGTTCTATTTTCCCGCTGCCTCAAAAAATTAAGAATTTTTTTCAGCATATTATTTTATGTATAGGGTTAGTCAGTCACTATAATGTGACAACTTATTGTGAATTTATTATTGAAATTACAAAATAGTTTCTAATACAAAAGTTTTAGCTTTTTTTATGAATTTTTATAATACAGTATTAGAAAAAACAATTGAATAACGGAAATCACTAAATTAAAGAAAAACATTTTTTTTTTAAATGGGACACCCTATATATATTTAGTTTCGTAAAATTTTTCTCTTTTCAAAAATATATAATACGTTACTGTTTGATTCAGGAATTTTCGACATTCAGTTTAAAACTATTTTTGAAAAAACAGGAGGGAAATTTTTGTTTATTTATAAACATTTAAGACTTGAAATTTCGGGAATAAATTAATTAACCTTTAAACTTCATAATAACGGTTAAAGATATCGAAAAAAATGCATTTTATTAATTTAATTAATAAAATTTAATTATTAATTTGTTATAAATTATTAATTTTGTAAAAAAAATTTTTTTCGAGAAATAATTATTGACAATGGTACAAATAAACAATTTTCTTAAAAAACAATATTTTTCTTTAAAAAAATTCAGGAAATGACATATTTTTTATGTATAAAGTTTATTTAATAAGAATCGAGTTTTTGGATGTAATATGCATAATAGTATTATTTTTCAACATTAAATTACATATTATTTATTTTAAAACAGGTGGAAATTAAAACACTCAATTCTCATTAAAATAAACTTTATACAAAACAAATATGTCATTTCCTGATTTTTTTTACATAAAAAAGAAAATTGATTATTGGTACCATTGTCAATAATTATTTCTCGAAAAAATGCGAAAAAATTCTTTTTTTTATAAAACTAATAGTTTATAACAAATTAATAATTAATGATTGCAAAATGGACAGTGTAGTTATTATTTTCATGCGCTACCTCAGATTAAAAAAAAAATCGCAAAATTTTCGGGCAGTTAAGATTTGAAGTCTCGATTTCCCTTTTGAATGTTTCTGTCTTATTTCCCCCCCACCACATTCCAGATGTAAAAATGTATTCGAGAACCTTTTTAAAGGGTTAAAAATTACTATAAAATTTATTAATTAAATTAATATAATGCATTTTTTCGATATCTTTAACCGTTATTATGAAGTTTAAGGGTTGATTGATTTATCCATCACTATCGGCTAAAAATGGTCCAAGAAATTTTTTTTTTTAATTCGTGAAAAATTACCACGATTACAAATATCAAAACGGCTTTAAAAAATATTCATTCTTCGCAAAGTTATTAACTAAAAGCCTTATAAAATTACACTATTTGTTTATACGCCGTTTTGAGGAGGTTAGCCTAAGAAATTACAATTTCCAATTGCATATCTTGAAAATATAAGTCAAGACGAAACAAAAGAGCCCTCATAAGGTCTTTTATTATAACGCTAACAACCGCGTTTTTGCAATTGAAAAAATGCTATTTCTAAAAACAAATGCTAAAACAAATAAATATTTTTTTACCAAATTTTCAGGGTTTCTTAAGCGTAACAAAATACAACTTTTACTGCAGTTTAGAGACGATTTATGATATTTTCTTCTATTTATAGCAAATTGAAATTTCGCTGTTTTTTGCAATTATTTAAACAAATTGTTAATGGATTTTAATTTAGCAGGTCTCAAATGAAGCGTTTTTTGAATATCTATAAGTACAAACAAAAGCAAAAACTCCTGTTGGAGAACGCTTCTTAATACAGCTAAAAAAC